CAAATATCTTAACAATTACAAATATATTGTTAATTTTTCAATGGGCATATTCAATTATTGGGTCATATATTTTATATGTATAAAATACAACAATATAGAATGCACATAATAATAAAAAAATGAAATTTCTTAAATTTCTTATTATAAATTTATACTGCAAAATTTTTCCCAGCCTTGTTATAGACGTACTATAATTTTTATCATTATTTCTATGCTTCAAGTTCTGATATTGTTATTCGAATTGATGTTTATAATAGTGAAACATTTATCAAGAGCGGCATTGTATTTCTCGTTTATCAAACAGAATTTTACTGTTAAACATCTCTCTTTCTCTTTCTCAAAAATTGTAGCTCTTATATACATTATACATTAACGGCATTAAGTATCAAGATGGACGCATCGCAGGCTGAATGCAAGCTGCAGGCGTGTAAAAGGACAACAAAAGTCTACGGCGCGTTGCGATTAACTGAAACAACCGGCTCGACAATGGAGTAATCAGCGAGCTTTTCGACGCCAGCGTCGCCTCCTCTCGGCTACCCCCGACCGTCTCACCCCCCTCGTCAGCCACTGTCACCCCTTCCTCGCGGGGCACGTTTGTTGTCGCTTCAGCAATCACTACGATCATGTCCTGCTCTGTAATATTCATACCTATTGTTTTCGCTATTACGTATCGATTTTTACGTTCCGTAATTGAATAAAATTTATGTAATTCGATTTAGAGTAACATTTGTACACCCTAAAAAGAAAGATCCTAATTTTAAATCTGACTCTTTCATGTATAAATAGCCATAAATCTATTTGTGCAGATTTATAACAGCAGGTATTTAATATAGAATCCAACCAATTAACTACCTGTTTGTGATTATAAATATAGAAAATAAAAATCTTATTAAAAATCTAAAATATTTTGTTACGTGGAAACAATAAAGTATAATATTACAGACTTTTATTATTTCTCTGTCATTTCGAAGGTAATTCGACGTAATACGCTTGAAGAAAATAATATATGCACAAATAATAAGACTTTGCATACACTACGTTTATTAGACGGAAGCAGCCAATTAAAGAGGTAGAGAGATCTTAAGGAGCCGACGATGGATAGTCGAGAAGCCGAATTGTTTCATTGATGAGCGAGCATTCAGCTCGAGGTAGGCGGGAAACAAGAAGTGGAGGGAGAAGCGGGTACATTAGATGTTACGGCGTTTACGCTGGCAACCCTCTTTCGGACCGTGCCAGTCGATGAATGGTATAATCAGCGGTCGCGTGGCACCCCCGTGCTCGATGAGGATGGAAGAGAGTAAGACGAGAAATGAAAACCCTTCCCACCCCATTCACCATCCCCCTATTCGTCCGTGATGTTGGAATCGCGAAAAATCACTTAGCCCCACGGGGCGTATTTTGTGCCCCGAAAATATTCCCTTTCTCAATTCTTGTTCATGTAGAATTTGATTCTTAACACAAAACAATCCATTCTAAAGAGGAAACTTTTAGAACAGAATAATATAAATAATTTTGCGTCCTCTAGATAAGAAATTAAAGTTCGGTCCTTTTTTCAAGACCGATTCAAGTAATGTCTTAACACGCTAATATACGACTCTGTGATTGGCATATGACAACTTAAAACTGTACTTAACGTGGACTTAAGTATAAGAATTGATTATGAATATCAGTTGTGAAAAGAACTTAAAAACGTACAACTGAAATTTAAAATTGAATCGGTACTAAGCGAGTAATAACTGCATGGCATAAGAAATTGAAAAGCAGAACCAGTGAGAAGAGCCTAACAATAATAACAACATATTAAAGACATAATTGAGCGAAATTTTGAAATTAATATTAAGAGCTAATAACTAGTTTTTAACTGTAATCAATCATTTTTCTTGAATCTATTGATTGTACTGGATTTGATTTAAAAATTTTTTTGCACTTTATCCCCCCCAGAGAAAAATCTTCAGAAGGTTTAAAAACTCATTGAACGATACGACCAATTTAGGAAAAGATCCCTTAATTATTTTGTACAGTACATGAATTGTGGGGTTCTGTGTCGATTTGATTTGACATTGAATTACCCGAAAAAAGACACCCCCTCGCACACACCGTCGGCTCTTGTCAGCGATGTGCGATAAAAGGCGCGTTCACGCCCCGTGAATGACAGAATGTATGACGAAGAGACGAGGGCCGATAAAGGGCCCCCGGAACGACAGTCGATCGCTGTATCTCGCTCATTGACGGACACCGTTGGAGAGCGAATTTATTGTGCGGTTAATAATGGGGCCCGCGTGACAGCCGATCGCGCCCGTTTATCTACTCCGGAGTAGATGATCTTTCATTATACTACCCCGAGGTGTTTGTTCCTTGTCACATCGAATCGATTACAAATTGAAACGTGTAATTTTAAAAGGGCCTGACGGCGAGCCATACTCGGAAATTTTGATCTCACGAAAATTTGAAAAAATAACTTTTTTTTCAAACGTCTTAGTTCTCTCTTAACTCAGTCATTATTCGTTTGCTTGCATATAACAATTGGATTTTTATCTAGAATTTTTATGTGAAATTCGGAAACCATATTCTTTACTTTTTTAAGCAAAAATACATTTTTATGTTTTTTTAAAAATTGTGATATTTTTTCATTTACGTATTAAAATAGTTTGCTCAAATTATAGTAAATTTGAACCTTTAAACGTATTTCTTATTTTTTTAAGAGTTATATGTACAATCGTATCAATGCTGCAATTCTTTTGTTGAAATACGTAGCTAAAAGTTTAGTTGGATATTGATTTGAAAGTCATTTTGTTGAGAACCATCAAAATTATTATTTAGGATACTCAAACTGATTGTGAGGATGTCAAAACTTTTTACAGCACGCTTGCGTTTTCTACATAATTATTTCGACGGTTCAACAAAATTATTTTCAGATCCGTATTCATCTAAATATTTAGATACTTCGATAAATGCATATATTTTGCAAAAATACATTTCGTGCATTTTTGAAATGCGACTCATTTCTTTCATTCTTTCGCTGAGCGTACCAGCTCGATCTTCTTCCGCGGCGTGACACAGATTCGCTTTTCTACGGCAGATGAATATTCCTGCGCCTTCCGGAAATTCAATGGCGACAGCGCAGTCCCCCCTTTTATGGCGACCGGGAGATGTTGTCGCCCGCACACCAGCCCCCTTGTCTCGTTTTATACCTTCTCTCTTTATCGCCTTATCACTCGGGAGACGTCTTCCACTTCCCCCTCTCTCCGCAACCTTCTCCCGTTGCTTTCTCTCTCTTTCTCACCTTGTGACAAGACACTACCGCGACTGATAACATTTATTATAAGACCTGGTCTTCTATGGCCCGCCTTCCATATTCTTGTATCTCCTGCAGCGGACAAAGCGAGAAAAGAAATTCTCTGCCTGATGACGAAAGTCGACGGCTGATCGGCGAACGCATCAGCGGCATCGTTTCGTACCTTTGTTCAACTCAAACTTCTTTTTTCGCACGATTTTATTATTGTCAATGTATAAAGTGTACTATACTGTATTGATATTCAATTATCTCTATAGCTAGAGAATAGACTTTTACTTCTTGCATTTTTATCAAAGATTTTTCTAGAACAAAATAAAATACCGAATTAGATATAATTAATTTTTTTATCGTGTACAAAAAAATATTTAGCAAACGCAAAAAGGTTCTATCAGTATTGAGACAAAAATCCCGCGATCATATCCTTTCACCCTTTTCTTTCCCGAAGTCTCCTCGCTCTCTCCATCCACCATTGTCTTTGGAAATATCAATGGACCGGGTGCACCTGGCTGACCACCGACGAAAGGCGGAGAGGTCAAAGAGGCGACTGCGGCGACGGCAGGCGCGGCGCGGCGGCGCGATAATCCGCACGACAAACGCACCCACACCCCGCCGTCGTTGTCTTCGTGACTGCGCGGGAGGAGAACAGAAAGAGGGAAAGAAACGGAGGAGATAGAGACTTCTCTCCACCTGTTGCGCGAACCCGCGTATCCGTTCTGGACCGCCATGCCGACGCGGTGGCCAATCGCGGCCGCCCATTGGCTGCGCTAAATGGTGGGAGCCGCGCCGCCGCGTCCGATTGGCGCGTCGTCTTATTTCACCCCACGTCCCACGGGAGTTCAGCCGCACCGGCGAAGGTTCCGTCCCGCGGGTTCGCCCCAGATGCTACGTGCTTCGTGAAGTTCCTGAGGGAACCCCCGCGATTCTGTCAGTGCACCAAAAGGACTCGTGTCCGTCAGATCAAGCCCCTCGCTCGAAAAAAAGAAATTACGCCACAGAAGCGCAGGACTGGAAGAATTGCTGAAGTATAACTGTATCGTGACAATTGAAAGAAGACGACCTCGTCAGTTGAAAGGATCTCCATTGACAGATTAGTTTAGTTCATCGTGAAATTGTTCAAGGAACGTATCAAGAAGCTGTAAAATCCTTCACGCTGAAGAGTCCAGTGATTACTAGGCGATTGCATATTCTTTCGGAAGAATTCGACGATTAGAAGATTTGAAATGTCATCCCGATGTAATTAATGATTCAAGATATCCATTATTTTTGGAAGTATTTTGGGGAAGCACTCATCGTTTTTAAATGAAAGTTTGTTGTTTTCAAAGACATTGCCGGTGCTCGTGAACGTTGCATAAAGATTTATTTTTTAACTAGAACGTCTAGTCTTTTCGCAAGAAACTATTAAATATATTTGAAGAAATGGAAGAAAATTCAGAAATATCCTGAATCGTCGAAAGATGTTTTGAATATCAACGTCATTTTCGTGCAGTGAATGTGAATCAATTCGTAAAGATAGAACGATCTAATTAACCGGCTAAAGTAATTAATGCTGATGGTACATCATGCATAACAATTTATCAAAGCAAGTTTCAAAGAGTCTTTTTTAAGGGAACGGTCGATCAATAAGCTTTGTGCGAGCCATTAAAGACTACGAATAAATATATTAAAAACTAAACATATTTAACTTTGAAAAATTCTGTGGGAACTTTAGAAATACGTCAACAGGATGTATGGAAAATTATCTTATCCACTTGAGATAGGAGTGGTCTATCAATCTTTTAATTCATCAGTAATCTCGTCTACTCGTGAGGAAAGCAATTAGATTAAACATCGAGATATAGGAATTGAACGACTCATGGAGATGTCGTCAAAGACTCTGCATAACGAACATATTAAACGGCCGATGAATGCCTTTATGGTGTGGTCGCGTGGTCAACGTCGCAAAATGGCACAGGAAAATCCGAAGATGCACAATTCGGAAATCTCGAAGAGGCTCGGTGCCGAGTGGAAGCTTCTGAGCGAAAGCGAAAAACGTCCTTTCATTGACGAGGCAAAAAGATTGAGGTGAGTTCACGGAACATACATTGAACACGTTAGAACGTACACTGAACACTTATTTTTTATTGAAAAATTGACATTCATAATGTAATTAGCTCCGAAAATTAACTTGCTTTTTATTTAACTAATTTCCGAAATTAAATTAATTTTGATGAGTGGTTATTTCTCTTATATATAAGCTTAAATGCATTAATTTATTAAAATTTTTACCAACTATTTCCTGTATTACGCTTTCACAATTAAAACTTGATATTTTAAACTAAACTTATGATTTGATTATTATTTATTATATTTGTAATAAACTTTTTAATATTTTATTTTCAAAATAAACAGTATATTATATTTTTTTTCTTTAATTTTCTAAGAAGGAATTACAAAAAATTTAATATGATTTCATAAAAATGATAATATAATAATTAAAATATAATCAAGCTCTCTCTATAATTAGGACATAAATAGGAAATAATTTAAAGATAACTATTTAAATCTTTTTATCAAAATCATTTTTTACTCTCTTTTATTATATTGTTATATTTTTTATTCTTTATTCTCTATTTAATGTAATAATCTCTTGATAAATCATTGCATTATCGTATCATCTCTAAATTATATAGATAATAAAATATAAAACCATGTATGATTTAGTGAGAATAAGTTGATAAAAATTAATGAATTAAAAAGGTAAATGAATGAATAGAATTTTTTCTCTATTTCTTTGAAAATGTTCAGTTCATTTCTACACTAAGAGACTAACCTGAGATAATAAAGATAAATATGAGAAATAAGGCAACATTTTGAAAATTATATTACGTGTGATAAGAGGAAGAGACTTATAGTTAAAAAATCTCTTTCTTATCACACACACTTGTTTCTTTCAGGGTTAAAATCACAGCTACCGTACAAATTATATTTTTACATTATACAAACTAAATGCTGATTCTTAGATGCTTGAAACAAATTTCACATATTATAAATTAATATATATTTTTAATTACGCAAGAGATTTAATGATAATATTTTAATAATATACAAGTCATATATACATTTTTGGAAAATTGTAAAATAGCTCATATTTTTTATCTTTTTATCAACTGCGTGCGTTTTATCAATGATTCTGTAACATCTGAGACAATCGTTTTATCTCTATATCAACAGGAATAAACTTGCCCAGTAAATATTCCTTTACAGAGTTATCTACACTGAAAAAAAAAGTTGTTAACTTGACAAATACGTTTAATTCGTAATGATTATTTAGTTCAAATATTTATATATTTAGATTAACAAAATGTTGTAATTAAAAATATGTTATTTGTTTGTTTGAATTAACAAATATTTGCTTGACAGTCCGTGACCGCTACATTTAGTTGAATCAACCAATATTTTTTTGAAATGGCAACTTTGTGTAAGTAATGTTATTTATTTGACACGTTTTTTTCTCTCTATTCTATCTCCTTAACAAGATACATACTCATAAATATATGAAGTATAAAGAGAAGAAAAAATATATTTCGCGTTCTCTCCAATAGACAGGCGACTACTTGTTCTTATGGCGACACTAATTGCTCCTCAGTTGCGGTAATAAACTCCAAACGATTACGTTGAGAAAATTATATTACGTGTGATAAGAGGAAGAGACTTATAGTTAAAAAATCTCTTTCTTATCACACACACTTGTTTCTTTCAGGGTTAAAATCACAGCTACCGTACAAATTATATTTTTACATTATACAAACTAAATGCTGATTCTTAGATGCTTGAAACAAATTTCACATATTATAAATTAATATATATTTTTAATTACGCAAGAGATTTAATGATAATATTTTAATAATATACAAGTCATATATACATTTTTGGAAAATTGTAAAATAGCTCATATTTTTTATCTTTTTATCAACTGCGTGCGTTTTATCAATGATTCTGTAACATCTGAGACAATCGTTTTATCTCTATATCAACAGGAATAAACTTGCCCAGTAAATATTCCTTTACAGAGTTATCTACACTGAAAAAAAAAGTTGTTAACTTGACAAATACGTTTAATTCGTAATGATTATTTAGTTCAAATATTTATATATTTAGATTAACAAAATGTTGTAATTAAAAATATGTTATTTGTTTGTTTGAATTAACAAATATTTGCTTGACAGTCCGTGACCGCTACATTTAGTTGAATCAACTAATATTTTTTTTGAAATAGCAACTTTGTGTAAGTAATGTTATTTATTTTACACGTTTTTCTCTCTATTCTGTCTCCTTAACAAGATATATACTCATAAATATATGAAGTATAAAGAGAAGAAAAAATATATTTCGCGTTCTTTCCAATAGACAGGCGACTACTTGTTCTTATGGCGACACTAATTGCTCCTCAGTTGCGGTAATAAACTCCAAACGATTACGTTGATTGGAATGGGGTCCGTATCGGCAGAATCGAGGGAGATCGAAAACGGCGGGAAAGCGTGCCACGCGATCGTCTCGTACTTCATAATACAGTACATTGTTGCTGAGAAGCTTAGGGGGCTATGCAGCGCTAAACCCGGGTTGAAATGGGGTGAGATATGGCCGGTATTTATAGGGCGGGCGAGACGAGCTCTTTATTACCGGCCCTGAATATTTAATCACTGTTATGAGTTTATTTAGCTAGCCGAGCGGCCGCGCCGATTTTTCGAGGCCGGCACGCTCTTAAAAGGGCCCCCTTGAAAAGAAGGTCCCGGCAATCTCCCAAGAATCTTCCTCTGGAGTATCCTCGTAACGTCTTTTAATTTTGCGAGCCTTATTCGCGTAACGTTTTGCAATTTCGTAAACGCAATCTCATCAAATGGGATACTGGTATTAATTTTGCGATGATAATCAACGCGCTTATAAAAGTGATCGTTTTACCGTGGAGTATTTTCATATTATTTAACGTACTGTTTCTCGACTTCGATTGGCTTCTTAGGATGAGAAAAATTGCTAAAAATTTAACGACTTTATATTTGTAAAATGGCTTGTTCTGCTTAGTCAATTATGACAAATATTTATTCTTCGAATAAAGTCTTAAGAAATGACATTAACGATATTATATAATTTTGTGAGTCTTCTACAGAAATTATTTCCATATTTATTAAATAAATATTTCTGTGATCACATAATAATTTATAATTTTAAAATATTTTTATATTAATTAGATTAATTATTGTTACATATTATTTACTTGATTTGACAAATCTTTCAAAATAAATTTATGCTAAATATGTTTTTCAGTGATACGTGTCATTCGAAAAATCGGAGCTGAAGGGAAGAGGAATAGGTTCGCGCGCAAGGTGCGTGCAGATTAAATTTGGAAACGATCCCCGCTCTTTCGCTTTTCGATCTCGTCTCGGGGAACAAGATTTAAACTGATTCCACACACTCTCTAACCCCGTGCCCGCGTTGCAAAATATCCCGACCTCGATTTACATTCCACCCCGATGAGGAGAAAAAGAAGGAAATAGGAAGAAAGCGAGGGATGTCCCGCGATGCCGCTAAAATTTTTCGATGAAATCGCGAATAACGAAACCGATATCGTCTCGAATGAATCACCGCGTTGAGCAGATCGCCGTGCAGAAAATCCCTCTGATTGACGCATCCACGACGATAAATGATAATTGATAGCGACGCACCCATCGAATGTGACACAATTTGTCATACATATTTCAATCGAAACCATCGAATTCAGATATACTCGATTCAATTAATACATTTAACACTCTGCGCTATTTATTATATTCTGCACGTAGTAACGATGAAACATGTTTTGTGTATCATTTGGTATCCAAAGTTATTAAATCTTCAGCCACCCAACCCCCACTTGGCTTGTTAACGATACAAAAGCGCAAACAAAGGGCCATATTTTTCCATCGAAAATTTCTGAAAGAGAAAGAAAACGAGAAGAGCGACGCCGAAGGCGGGGTGAGAGGTATGGGCAATCCGAGGGAAATTTCGACGCGGACGTGTAACGGCGAATCCGCTTTTCTGGCGGATGGCAGCGACGTCGACGACGGGAGTAGGGTGGCGGCCGTAAAATAAAAGGGGTGAACGGGAGGAAGGGAAGGCGGGAAACGGAAAGGGGAGGTAAAGTCGTTCCCTTGGAGCGACGTCCTCGGTAGGAGCGGGTTCCCTTGGACCCGCGCCGTCACTGGCCCGACGTAATCTGTCCGTTCGTTCACGGCGACTCACAATGTGGCCCCCGAGATAACAAATAAAGCCCCATTGTCGCAATTGTGTGGATTTAAAAGGATTTGCCCGGCTTCTCCGCATCCCCGCGCCCGCCACCGCCGTCCGCGCTCTCAGCGATCCTCTCTTTCTCTCTCGCCCGCTCGTCTTCCCTGTCCCTCCCCCTGTTCCTCTCGCCCTCCCCTCCTCCGTTATACGTACCAATTCAACCCCCTACGTGTTCCGCAGCCTCTTCCCGATTTCTCGCTTCTCTCGTTGCGGTGAAACGGGCCTTTTTACGCGCTTTGATGTTACATATGAACGTCCGTCTGGTATCAATGGGAAATTTGTTAATATAATTAGTCGCGAACAATCTCGATTCGATTAATCGAATATATTCTGTGTTGAACTACAATACCATGACAATATGAAAGTGTCGAGAATACTCGCTTGTTTAGCTTAATTTAATTAGTGTAGAAAGTAATTTCTTCTTGGATTTATTATTGAAATTCGTCAAGTTTATAAATAAAAGAAATTGCGCAGAAAATTTAAAGATAGCTTAATCGTCATTCAGATAATTTTTTTATAAAAAAGAATAGTCCACAAAGAGTGATACGCGAGCTGCTCTTATAGCTTTACTCGATCTTGAATGAAATAATAATGCGAGAGGAAGAATTTCCCGCCAATCGCTAAAACTCCTACGAATTGAACTTTCAGAAAAAAATACGTTTACGATTATATAATATCCATTTTTATCGATGTAGATTAACTTCTCCATACAGCACAAAAACTTGCGGCAACGTTATTGCAATCATGGTGGAATCAGAAAG